CATATCATGGGCAGGGCTCCAGGGATCCACCATCTATTTTCACACTACCAAGCTCATTAACGTTTTGGGCCATGTTTAAAATTTCATATGATTCAGGATCTAAATTGATAATGGACCCAGTTTGAGTCGACCCCCTGGGTTCCTGGGCCTATTGATGAAGTCGATCTATGGATCGAGCAAGCTAAACAATAAAACTAAATTAGTGTCTCCTTTCAAGAAACTAAATTATTGGCTACCGGCCCTTAATAAGCGGGGCCGAGCTTTAACCTCCTAAAACATGTTCCTGTGACCAAAACAATTGAATGAACTTTTCACTTTTTGCCCACATGAAAAGGTTGAATGAACCGTGGTTCTTCGGGCACCAAACCTGAGACCTGAAGCCCTGAGCCATAGTCCTCATATCTTCTTAAAAAACTTACGCGCACTATTATAAAAAATAATTTATAAAATGATTATTTTTTAATATTAAATGGTTACGTTGAATAATACAATGTTGAATATAATTAGAGCCTTTATTCAATGGTAATTAACTGTTAAATATTCTTATTTTATTAAACAGTTTTTAAATAAAAAATCGTTTAATATGAGTTTGAGGTTTGGAGAAATCTGATTAGGAATCAATTTATAAAACAGTTTTTTGCTTATGACCGTAAAATTAACGTTTAATATACATATATATATATATATATAATATAAAACGGTTGTAACATGACAACCCTTTTATGTTCTATTGTTTTAGTTATAATAGTAAATGATTTTTTGAACTAATCATTTAATATAATGACCAAATTTTTTAAAAATAATTTTTAATTTATTAATCTTATTTTATTTTATTTTATTAATTATTTAATATAAAGTAATAAAATAAATTAAAATTAAATGCATGATTAATTAGAATACAATACTGTATTAAAAATGAAAAATAATATTTTACTTATTATTTTTATTAATATAATTACTAATTATAATTCATCAAATTATATGATAAATTATCATTTATTATATTATTAACATAATTAATTAATTATAATACATCAAATACAAATAGTATCAAATATACTAAATATAAAATAAATTTTTTATTATTATCTGATTAATATACTGATTAACTTTCTCAAGCGCTTTTACAAAAAAGCAATCTAGAAGGTTAACAAAAATTTAATATTTTTTATTTTAAATTTTTTTCAGGCTTGAGATGTTAAGTGCGTTAGAAGAGCGGCACTTTTAGGAGCGAAAGCGCTTTGCACAGTTATTTCTTTTTTTTTTTCAATTAAATTTTCTCTAAACTTATTAGAGTGCTATAAAAAAAAAAAAAGTTCCGTTAGAGTGAACGTTTTTCACTTTTCTAAGTCACCTAAAGAAGTGCACCTAGAAAAAGCCATCCCTTAGGTTATTTTCGTTTTTAAATTAATTTTTCACTAAACCTATTGGAGAGCTTTAAAAGGAGGCACTTTTATATGCGGTTATTTTTATTTCATTTTTTAGCAGTCACAGTCCAAAAGGCATTATCTAATAAGCACTCCCGCAAAGGTACAATGTTCCATAGCGCTTATGCAGAAAAGCATTTTAGAATGTTCCGTATGCTTGTTTAGGAGTTTTTTTATTTTTTATAAACACTCTAAAATGGGCGCTTCTAAAAGCTTTTCTGTAGTAGTGAGGCACAATAAGAGAATCATTGCCAGCACGAATAGTGACTACAACAATGATGGACCCATGGCATTTCTATGGTAGAGGAAGGTGGAGAATGGCCATAAATGGTGGGTTTTGGAAGTTTCGAGCAAGGTGACTCTTTGATTTTTGTTTGAACTGAGTGTTTAAAATTTGGGAAAGGAGAGGTCGATAGGTTTTTTAAAAATCAAATACTAAACAATTCCTTTAGTCGAATCATTTAGTAATATATATAAATCGATTCTATAAAAGAAATCATTTAATAAATTAACGAAATATTAAACAGTTTTCTACCCATAATAGTTTAATATTATGTCAAAGCTCGTGAAACTAAGACAAATACGAAATAGTTATCTTAAATAACTGTTTAGTATTTAGCTAATTATAACATGGTTTTTTATATAACGGTTTAATAATTTTTTTTAAATCCTTGCCTTTATTTACAAATAGCTTTTATATATAATCGTTTAATAAACGACGTTACATAAACTCTCTGTAATAGCAGTATTTGTCATTTCGGTTGCTGCAATAGGAGGCAAAGCTACTAGAAAATAGGTTGACTCTAATTTTCGGTATATATTTACTAATATCCCTTAAATTTGGTGGCGTTAAATGACAAGTTTATCTGAAAATTTTTTTTCTAAGGACACCTAGCACCATAAATTTTTCTTTGGAGCATCTCCCCCCCAAACTTTTTAAAAAAAATAGTATTTTTACCCCATCATTAAATATAAAAAAAATTAGTTTTTAAACTAAAGTTTGACCAAAGGTATTTATCCTATAACTTTTTCTTCAAGAATGTTGGGTATTCTGAACTTTTGTTTAGAATTTATTTACTTTAAAAGTTTTTAAGTGAAAACAATTGTCTTACTATTAATATCGATCGTTACTTTAATTTTAATTATCATTTGCAACCATGTGGCATTTAAAAAAAATTAAAAATTTCACCTAGATAGCAAGAAAACCTCCATTAACATCAATAATAACAGCAAGAATAATTTCATGAACAGCAAGCGAGAAAAACAAGAAGCAATTCCAAAACATTTGAACCTATACTTATACTCAGAAACAATCAACTATTTGTTGAGTCAATTCATATAAGCTCAACCATATGGAAGCTCTCTTCTTCTATATTTGATAATTCACTATCTTACTCAACTATGACAATTTCGTAGACTCTAACCTTAACTTAGACGCTTATGAGAGCTTCACATCATCAAACTTGACCATGGTGGTGGTGGCAAAAGCAGTGGTTTGGATTGTTATGCAAGGAGCACACGACAAGGCGGGGGAGGATGACAACAATCTAAGAAAAGTTAAGAATGACAGATTTGCCTTTCACAGATAGAACGACAACGTTGTGGGCTTGTACAGTCATTTTTAGGGGCTGAAAGTGCCAAACCAAATGCAAGACTTCTTATGAAACTTGCAAATTTCAGACACCCATTTTTTCCAGCTTTGCATTTGGACTCTAATTCATGGTAGTATAGGAGCTTGTTAGTAGAAGAGGAGGAGGAAGAGGACAATGAAGAAGAAGAGAGGGCAAAATTGCTCCATTTTTTAAACTTTCAGGGCAAATAAGTGCCAAACAAAAGTTCAGGATACCCAGCACTCCTAAAGTAAAAATTCCAGGGTAAATATATTATTTAACTTTTGATCAAACTTCAGTTTAATAATCAACATTTCTTATATTTAATGGTGGGAAAAAATGCGCTGTTTAAAAAGTTTAGGGCAAAAATACTCTAAAAAAAATTTAGGGTGCCAAATGCCTTTGGAAAAAAAATTTCAAAACTAATTTTTTATTTTAACCCAAGCTGGTGAGAACTATGACATCATTGTTTGCTAATAGAAAAAGGGTTGCTAACAAATGAAACAAAACTCTTCGCTTGGGTAGAAGGAAGAAATTGATGATTAAACTGAAGGTTTGAACAAAGGGAAAGGAAATTGATGAAGGGTCAAATTTTAGAAAACATGTTTATAAGATAAAAAATGATAAAATTGAAAGAAAGAAATATGAGATAATGATAGGTAAGTCCTAACAGATAAAATTAATAACAGTTAGGTCCTTGACAAATTTTTTTAAAAATTAATTCTAAATATCGATTCAAATATATAGTTGTAAACTTAAAAGTTTTAATTGCAAATAATATATTTATATTCGAAATATAATAATTAGTTTGCAATTCAGATTTCTCTTTATAGTTGTTTGAATTAATATTTATAATTTTACCACAAAACATATTATAGTAGTGGTAGAAACTTACCACAAGTTTTTTAAAACCATAGTTAATCCCGCATTTTTTTTAAAAAAAAATCATCGCTGCAAATTTTAGGATGAAATATGATGTGAATTTATGTAGTAGCATTTTATTAGATTTAAATTTTTATTACATATTTTTATTCTCTATATGGAATAATTTAAATGTTAAATTAATGTTTAAATTAAATTTATTTTCTCTGCTTAAATTATGCTGTGAATGTTGATACTTTTATTTTTGCATTATAAAAAATATGTTTGAATTTTATGCTTAAATATAATACGTTGTAAATATTCTTTTATTTTATACATAAATGAATAAATATTGGATGTCTAAATTTGGCAATACAAGAAAATATATGAATGGTCTAAAAGGATTTTTAAATTTTGCTTTTGCTAATAGTGATGTTAAGGGTAAAATAATTTATTAAGGAATTGGTTTGTAATGAGGCTAGTGATTATATATATGAATTGGTTTGTAATCCTTTTAGATGCAAGAAGAAAATAAAATTTCAATTCAAATTGAGGATTCATCATAAAATTCAAATCAGAGGATGACCAAAGAATTTTTTAAATTGATACAAAATGGGCAAAAACAATTATACGATGAGTGTGAAACTTTTCACAAAAAATTTTATTAAAGACTTAGCTATTATTAATTCATCATTTTGAGACTTTATTGCCATTTTTTAAGAAAGAAAAGAAAAATAGCATTTGTGAATAACTAAGAAGGTTTGCACTGGTGACTTGTCCGGTTCGCAAGCCTCTCTACATTCTTGGTTTGCATAATTTGTTGAATACAGTTTCTTTCACTGTTGCATGCTAGTTAGCGCGCGCATATTATATTAGCCAACACGAGATCTGCTGAGAGTCATGTGCTGGTGCAGCTCTACGTAATAGAGTCCAAGTAGGTGAACGATGCCTGTGATCTTCGTATGAAGGTTTCAATCAGAGGAGGCTTTCTGTTGGTAGTGGTAAATATGATTCGCGTCGTATACTTTAATCTGAGTTGAGTGGCGGCAGGGGAGAGCTTTCTATCTACACATGTGGAATTGACGTGAAACGAAACAACAAATTGTTTAATCGTTCAAGCTCGCAACTACCATTAATTTCTCCGTCGCTCCTTTGCACGAAATGAATCGACATGTATATCCATGAACAAAATACTCATTTCCATGGTCTGCTATTTACCAGGATACAATGGCTCCCAACTTTCAGTTTACCAATTCTCTACAGAGGATTCCATTCCCTTCCTTTCTCCTAAAATCCTATACAGTATGCTTTTGTCATTTCCATTTATATTTGTATATATTGACGTTATCGTATTATCGTATTATTTTGCGGCCGTTATCTTTAGCCGGAATTGCTCCAACTTCAAGAGCGATTGGAGCGATGGGAAGACGACGACGCGCTGCCTGAATCTCCTATCCCACACAAAATGTCTGACAGGTATCCCGCCAAATCCTCGGGTGAAAACCTCACAACCGAATTCGACCCGAGTGCTCTCGTCAACCCCACCCTGTGCTTCTCATAGAATTCCCCGTATCTCGGTAAAAGCTTCGACGATATCGACGCTTTAATTTCGTCTTGCAGCTTGGGGTCCGATACGATCCACGAGGATTGTTTCACGCACGTCTCGCTGAATTCGGCGTTGAAATTCCTGAAGCACACCCTCACTTGCTCCGCTGCCATCTGCGCCGTTGGATTTTCTGGCAGTGACGAAAACACCTTGTTCCAACCCATGCGCTCGTACTTGGATACATACTCTTTGACCTTCGATTCGTGTTTCATCAACCAATCCTCGCCGAGAAGGAAGCTGAGATTAGACGCGCGCACCTTACTGACAACGTATTGGAGGTTATTGGCGAGGAAGAGGTAGGAAAGTGCAACGTCCTTGTATAGCTCGGCTTTCCCATCGAGTTTACAGAGGACAACGAGTATCAGCCAAGCAAGCCGGACCTTTATTTCCGACGACGGGCTCTTGTCGTCACCCGAACTTAGGAAGTAGGACTCTGGTAACGGAGATTTTAACGTTAGTGGCCAATCGACGACTATGTCGGCGAGTATACCACAGTAATCGGCGAGGAATGCGATGTAGTTCATCACGTAACGCGTGAGTGGGTGGATTCCTCCACCTGGAACCGGCGTCTTAGAGTTGTCCTTCTGAATCGCCGATTCGAAGTCAGAAAGCATTGTCCGAACAGCTTCACCGAGCTTGACCATGGAATTGACAGCCTGTAATCGGATGGAGGAGGTTGAATCGAAGGAGAAGATGGACTCGATTTGTGGCCAGCTATGGAAGATTGCTTCATACAAGTCAAGAGTCTTAAACATTTTCTCGGGCGTTTTCTTGCATTTTGCCACGAGTTCAGGGAATCCAAACAAAGACATAGCAGCCTCCCTGCAAATCTCAGCGTAACAGGACTCGACGATTCTCTCTGACGAGGCAAATATGTGATCGCAGAGAATTCTCTCTCCGTAAAACAGAGTTGTGACAGCGACTTTGATGGCTTTCAACCAGAACTTAATCTTCAACTCAATGACCTCCCAATCCATTTTCTGGACCTGAGAGAAGGTCAGCCTCTCCACTCCAAGATGGTACATAGCCTCGTCCACGATCGATTTTCTCATGAGGGTGTAAATCTTGACGCACTCTTTTCCGTAACCAGCGGAAATCATGCATTCCGCAATGGCTTTCAAATCCTCCATGGCAATCATGGAAACTCTCTCTGTCTCGTAAATGGAATTATCCGTGACAGAACGGCACTCATCCTCTGAGAAATCATCGTCAAAATCGGAAACGCTGGTTCTCTGATCGGTGGAGGAGCGACTAGAAACGGACTCAGGATCCAAATGATCCCTGTTGGAGGACAGTATCTGATAGAACTCCTTCTTGAGCCTCTTCAATGCAATCTGCATCAAGAGTTGAGCCTGAACGAGCCAGGGGGAGTTGGAATCCTGCGTGACGAGATACCGCATGGCGGATTGCAGGCCCTTGACGGCGTTAAGGTAGTGTTTGGCTTCTTGGCGGTTGCCGGAGAAAAGAGGGGCGATCTCGGCGAAGGGAGATTGGTTAGAGTCCCATTTGGCGATGAGGGAGCGAGCGGTCTCAATGTTTTCTTCCATCAACGAGAGGGAGAAGGTTGGGAGAGGGGAGGAAGGCGGCATGCATAGGGAAGATAGAGGTGAAGAGGGTGAAGGGGATGAAGATTTGAAGATGTTTCTCATTCCTTTGGAGATTTCTTCAGTGTCGTTTTGGGTTTTGTTGAGTTCGTGACTGAAGTTGGAGGTTAAATCTCTTAGGAGTATGACTATGAGAGACTACATAGAAGAGGGTGAAGAGGAGTTTGGTGGAGAGCAAGGGGAAGGGAGAGAAGGGGATATTTATAGGAGCATTGGGAGAGGGAGTTTATAGTGAGCAAATGGCCTGGTCGGTTGGAAGCAGCGTAAGGGGGGACCGGACGGTGAAGCCAGTACGCGGATAAGAAATTTGTTTTCCACCTTTCGACGTTGCTTTTGACGCCTTCGCTTAGAACGTTCCACCTTGACGCTTGCTGACTCCGAGTGGTTGAGGGAATTTTTTTTTTTAATTTCTTCTTTATATTATCATTTTTTAAAAAGTTAAATACAATTCATTCATAAGAAAAACTTTGAAGTCAAAAGGGGCCCAGTCCTGTTTCGTAAGGTCTCTCCTCGGTCGCCAAAGCAAAAGGTCGAAATTCCACTGCAACTCCTTTTTTAATCTTAATTGTCTCATCGAATTTTATTCTGGAACCCTTTACTTATATATATATATAATCAATTACTAATTAATAATACGGGTAAATTTATCAAAATAAATTTATATTTGTATTCGCACATTCAAACAAAAGTACAAAGAAATGTGATTGGAGGTTTAAAACTTAAATTTCATATTTATATTTGTTATTGTTACTGTTTTAGTATTCCATCAACATATTTTTCGAAAATATAAATAATTGATTGGAATAATCTCGTCGAAGTAATCACATTAACTATTTATAAGCTTGAAATTTGATAATATATTTTTTATACAGGAAAGTGTCTTTCAATTTAATTTCTCTATCAATAATCAAGATTAGTTCTTGTTATGTACCTTCAGGACTGGTTGTTTCGTGTTATTCGTTTAAGAGATCGAATAAACCCTTTGGAACAGAGTTGGGATGATAACTAAAAGCAATAAAAAAAAAAGAGTTAGGAAGAAGAGTTGGGATGATTTAAACCTGAGTATACTTAAAAAAAAAAAAAATACAAAAAGCTCTGACCTTTAGTTTTTTATATGCGCCACTTTGAAATAAAAATGGTTTTCTGACTATCCATAATTCCATATGATCAAAACATCTATAAACAAACATTTTGATTCAAAGTATGGTGCTTGTTTGAACCTCGCTCATCTTTACCTTTTTGTTTATCGGGAAGTTCCTTATTTTATAGGGTAGCTTCTTCTTCGAGTGTTGGTTTCTTCTCTCACATACAAAATATAGGACTAGGGATGTTCTTCTCCTCTACGAGAGTTTTCTTCGCTGTTACGTGGTCTTCTTTCCTTATAATAGTTTGTATGTGAAGAGCATACACTTCTGATGAGTGGTCGCCAAGTTGTAGGCTGGATTGTAACACCACCCCTTTTGGTGCTTCTACTTGATAAAAATGCTTGCGTACTTGATTACAACTTCATCATCAACTGATTTTTTTTTCCCCTCACCTCTGAAATTGGCGTTCAGTGTTTGTCGGGTTGCTTTTTCTTTTCGGGAGATGGATTGCTGTTAATTTTTGTTTATTTGTAATTCTGTGTTGTGTAATATAGTTTAATTCGGTGTATTGACATAATAAGTTGTTTCACAGTGTAATGGTAATTTTAGCGCAACTTTTGATGAAACAGACATCATTGAAACATCCTGTATTTAGGAATTCAGTTAGTAAACTGGATAATATTGTTGTTATAGACTTATAGGTGGTTATATGATGATCATGACTTGTTGTTTTGTACGCGTACGTTGTACATCCGCTTGAAAGGGCGCGCTCCTCTCTGATACTTTCATAAACCCGGCCTTTGCCTGCTCGGCTGCTGCCTGCTTACGATACATATCCCTCTCATATAGACACGTGTATATAGAATCCATAATTTGAATAGATTAAATTTATTTAGTTTAAGTTTAATTCAGGTCGAATTTATTTGAATAGGGCTCACAATATCCTATTCTCTTAAAAAAAATTCATATAATCAAATTTGGTTTTAACTTTTTTTAGTTGTGTTCAGACTAGCCTATTAAATTTGGCCAAAATTACCTACTCTACATACATATAGAGGCAGACATTTCAAGGGTCGGGCTTATTCGAATTGGGTTTAAAGTATTATATTTTTTAAAAAAAAGTTCATATAATCAAGCCCGGTCTTAAAAATTTTTGGGTGGGTTTGGCCGGAATTACCGGCTCTACACGTATATAATCCATGCATATGCTTTTTAGATAAAATTACATTCAAATCCTACAAAAAACAAGTGTATTATGCATGTTGACAATTGGACAACGGCCATTTATAATTTGCAATAGCTGTTGTTTAGTTGTTAATGCTTTTAATTAAGTTATTAATGTATAGGATTTAGGACTTAAAAGTATTCTGTAAAATTTGTGAGACTTTTCAGTGTTAAACTTATTTCTATGGACCTGAATGGAATTTTTTGTTTCTTATATGCCTTTGATTGATATGAAAGTCTAATAATTAATCATTCATACCGAAGTTTTTATATATGTAATCAGGATGACTTATACAAACATAAAAATTAAATAACCATCGTTCTCGTTTAAGAAAAAGCATCGCGCGTAATGAAAAATGCGTGAATCAGTCCGTGTTCAATTTTTTCACTATGCACTGTTACGGGGATAGATAGCAGTACTCTATCAGACATTACTGTAGTGACAATATACGAAGGTGCAGAAAAGCTTAGGTTGGATTTGATCATGAGAAACAAAATACTTGTATAATGACCAGGTCTCCGTGAAAGTTTCAGCTATAATTAGACACGATAGAGTATAAACAGGTCAAATATCTACCAAACGAGGGGTCAGGATCCGTTGCCGCTTAGCTGAATGCCGTATTCGAATTTCTAATGGTCTAGCCTATGATTCAATCAATTGCCAACTTAATCATATGCTATCGTAAGTTATCTCAAGTCTGGTTTCTTTGTTTCGTTCGATCTCCTTCAACATTATTTATAATGTATATGTTAACACGGAATTACCGGGTAAAACATGACGTTTATTTGTTAATTAATTAATGCGCGGACCAGTTCTTTGCCTTTGGGGTTTCGTTTCTGACAACCGCGCCATTATTGCGGTTGTTTAATTTGTTGTTTACAATCTTGCTTATTTCGGCCGGCGTACAGCCGTGCACGCAAACGCGTACGTATATGCTCATCATCTAGCTACTGTCCATATTAATTCTCTCTGTTTTCATTCTAATTAAACAAACAAGCTTCAGTATTAAGTCATTATCATTTCCTTTAAATCAAGTTTAATTCAAATACCATTCCTTGTCAGGGACTTTCTTGGCAAAATTTGGTCAAGTCATAGCTAGCAACGACCGAATAATCTTCTTCTTTTTAATACTTTTTTCCTTACATCTGCATGTGTAATCTTCCGTATAAAAGCATCGTGCAGCAGTGCATAAAAGCATCATTCGGTGGTATGAACAGGTGCTTTCCGTATAAGTATTAGAATACGTGAATTGTATAAGATAAATACAAATAAATTTTAATCTACCCATCCACGGCATTATCATGTATGTTTGTATAAGTTGGCAGTGCAAGTTCTACATTTCACACACACACTGCCATGCATTGGGATTGTGATTTGTGATTATTATTCTCAATCATTTTACAAAGCACTTGATGTGATTTACAAGTGTTACAAATTCATCTCCTTCAAATATGCTCGTAATTGCTCGAGTATATTAAATAAAGAGGAGAGAGTAATGTAAGAAGTATTTTAATTATAATTTTTAACTAAAATCTGAATCATAAAAACGTGAAAGTTCTCATCAATTTGATTGAGTGTGGGGCATGTTTGGATGGAGCTGGGTTTTGAGTTTTGAGTAAGGAGAAGAGAGTTCAACAAAAGGGAGGAGCCAGCTAACAAATTCAGTTTCGGTGGTCATCGAGTTTTAACTAAGAAGAAGAGAGTTCAACAAAAGGGAGGAGCCAGCTAATGGATTCGGTTTCGGTGCTTGTCAATGAGCACCGTAATGCTTAGCATTAAAACACTTCGTTTTGCAATGTTAATTTTTTTCTTTTCTTTTTTAAATCACAAACTTATTATAATAATAAACAAATATTACAAAATTATTATTTTAATGTTTAATAAATATATAGACTTGACTTGTTAAAATTTGATCTAAACAATTTATATATAAATTTTGTCCTGAACAGTTTAGAATTATAGTAAAAAAAATAAAACTATAACTAAATATATTTTATAAAATATTTTTTAGTGTACTGATTTTATACAATCTTCTATCTATGAGAGATAATAATATTCATAATATAATCAGACATTAAATATAAGTATTTTTTTTAATAAGAGTTCAGACATTATTTTATTACATTATAAGAACTTAGCTCATTTTGCTAAGCTCAACACTTATTTTAAACTTTTTAAATTTTTTTAAAATTTTTTCAATACAGTTTTAAATAGTTCAAATTAAAATTTATATATAAATTATTCAAGTCAAATTTTAACAAATTATATTTATTTATTTATTAAATGTTAAAATAATAATTTTATAATATTTATTTTTTATTATTATTATTTTGTAATTAAGAAAAGGGAAAAAGAAATTAACACTGATAAAAATGCCGTGTTTTGACACTGAGCACCGCGGGTGAGGACTGAAACTGAATTCATTGCAGCTAGTAAGTGGGTAACTGTTCTGTTGCGACTAATTAACGATAACGGCCTTCTCTGACTTTCTTTTATTACTCTTCTGATCTTCGTGCTTTGACTTCTTAGGTTCATCCTCCAGGCACTGGAAGCCCATGATGTGAGCTCGCTCCTAGCATTCATTGTGCTGTTAGCTAAAAGGGACGGCTGGGTCTCTTCAAAAGAAAAAGGTTGAGCGACGCGCGTTTTTTCTGGTCGGCTATTGCTTTGGTTTGCAGTATGGATCCGAATGCTCACTCTCCCTCCGCGTTCTCTACTGACAGCGACCGGCCCCATCAACCTCTCTCTTTCCTCTTAATTTCTATCATCCTCATCAATGCATCCACATTCTATCTTACACCTCCGTTGTGCTTTTATTCACATGATTCTATATAGTTGATTTCAACTATGATTC